GGGTTTAGGGTTTAACACGGCATGACCTTAAATTAATCAAAATCCAATGTAGCTTCTGGGCATCGGAGAAAATAGATAAAAAAAAAAAAAATCTCAAAGATATTTGCAAGTCACTCCATTTATAAGTATGGGATAATGTTTTACTTTCAATAATGGTAGATGTGACTCATTAATACTAACTGCATCCAAATTACATTAGAGGGATAGAGTTGCTTTTCTTGTAACGTTGAGCTTGGGCTTTGCCTTAATTAATTAAGTGTTTGAGATTTCAATTTAAAGGTTTCAAGTTCAAATTTTGAATTAGGTAGAAAAAGTTGGAAAATAAGAGAGATACCCCTCTTATATGGTTTAATTAAATATACCCAAAAATGTTGTAGAGCTTGGGTTTTCTTTTATTAATGGTAAAAAACAGTAACAGAAGGTTTTTTTTTTTTTTAAACATTAATGACAAGAAATATAATGTCTAGTTCACCTTTTATAAATTCCTCTTCATTTGTATCAAAATTTTAGAATTAAATTCTCCAACTGGAATTTCAAAATCTAATACGTAGAGATAAGGTTTAGGTGCACAATAATAATGGTCTATGGACTATTAAATAAAGAGAAAAAATAAAAATTATGATCTTGGAATACTTTAAATGTTGAGAGTCTTTATAAAATTATTTAAATACCCTTAATAGATCTTATTTATATATTAATTTATTAAGAGTATTTTAATATTTTCATTATTATTTCTAACATTTTAATTATCATAACATCTTAATTTTCTTCAATACTTTAAATAAATGTCTCTAGAGTTCACACACTTAGGCTATGTTTGGTACAACTAGTGGGAAGTCTTTTTGGACTCCAAATGCTCCAACTGTACTAAACACTATAATTCGTGAAAAATGCTATAACTTCTCACAAGTTAGTATTTTGTTCATTTTATTGCAAATTTCAAAAATACCGAATTGGTGCTTTTGTAAGAGTTTCTCATTTGGATTTTAATGAAATTAACACATTGTTTTTATTTTATCATTATTTTTCTTTTTATTTATAAAAATAGTACTTTTACAATAATTTTTTTTCAACAAAACTTTTATTAAAAGTTCTAACCATATCAAATGAGCACTTAGTCAAATGACTCAACAGCTTTGCAAGAAGAGGTTTGACCTCTATGTTCACAGACTCACCCCTATCTATAATTAATTTTATGCAATACAAAACAATTTAAGGTTTAATTTGACAATATTAATCTGTAACTATAATTATAGATTTTTTTATCTTTTAATACCCTCAAAATATATAAAATATATTTTATATATTTAATATTTATTTTAATTAATATTCTATATATTTTAAAAATAATAAAAAATTAAAAATTAAAAGATAAAATATCAAAAAGTGTTATTAAATGAAATTTAAATTGCACAAAACTTTTGTTATTCAATTGACAGCGTGGGCTTGTCCGGGCATGGGGGGATATATGCCGTGAAGAAATAAATTTATAAATTTCTTAAGCTAATTGTCTGCTTTTAATTGAAATAAAGAGGTAGATTTAATCGGGTGTGCGAGTTAGTAGAGAATATCACATAATTTATATTAACAAAAATTTGATTAACTTGGTATCAACTAAAATATTATATAAAAAGAATTAATATCTATTAATTTAAATACTTTAATTTAATGTCAATAAATTAATAATTCAAACTCTTAAATGATATGCAAAACAACTAACTTTTGATATAAAAAAAAATTCACATAATCACTACACTAAAAGAAATAAGGCAAGATAAGCACATGTTAGTCGTGGATATCTGTGTTTAAATTAACATTGGTTGTTGGCAACTAAAGAAAATAGGCTACAATTAAGTATACTATATTACATGCATTTTGGCCAAAGGAATGACTTCATCGTTAAGGAATTCATTTTTATCTTATGGGTCTGTTTCATCTATCTGTGCCCTAAATATATATTTTTATAATTAATTTATATTAAAAATTATAAAAATTAATATATATTTTAATATCACTTACAGGTGGATAATATTAATTACTTAACTGATTAAATCAAAATTAATATTTATACATTATTAAAAATTAATTATGAAAAGTGTATTTATTATACCCTTATCCTATACCCTTATAGAAAAATCCTTATTTTATAATCTATAAAAAATGATTTTGAAACAACTTTTTTGTACCATTTTTTGATACAACTTAATATGCCATTTAAATGATTGATTCTTTTAATTTATATGGGACCCTTTTAATTCATGTCGAAGTCGTGATATTGAATGCACTCACTCATTTAATAACATGTGAAAGTTGTATTAAAATGTGATATAAAAAGATTGTCCCTGTAGTACCACCTTATAATCTAGTATGCCATGTAAATAAGCCTCAGTAATGAATTGTTACAATTCAAGAGGCTTGAGTATTCCTAAAAACAAAAGGCCAAAGCCCCTATTTGCACCCTCCATTTATTTTTTTTCCGCGGTCAACACTTTCCAGAATTTTTCCTCCCTATTTACACCCTCCACTTTTCAAAACCCGTGAAAAACCCAATATTTTAACGGGCCGTCACAACACCATTAAAAAATATATTATGTGGCATCCAAAAATTGACATAGCACTATGTAACGTTAGTAATCCAATGTGGATCTTTTTTTTTATGACGTGGTTTATTTTTTACGGATGTGGATGCCACGTATACAGTAAAAATAATAAAAAATTATAATATTACCAAACAGTTACATAAATGGCATTTTTTCATTTTTTTCTTTCCCCCTCATCCTCGGCATCATCTTCACCATCCTCCATCTGCACCATCCTCTTCTCAATGGGTTCCTCGCGGGGAACCCAATTCGGGTTCCTGCGCGAGAACCCAGATCTGGGTTCCTCGTGGGGAATCCAGTTCTGGGTTCCTCGCGGGGAACCCAATTCGGGTTCC